CCGACCAGCTCCACCAATCAGCAACCAGAGTCCACTTTGACATCCTGCCCAGTTTGATGCTGCTGCTAAAAGATTTCCTGATTTGTCAAACCGATGCTAAAGTAGAACTTTCCATGATGCTCCACATTCCTCATTTTAGGGAAGACAGGGATTCTTGGAAGAGTTGTCAGAAAATACAACTTTATTCTCGTAATTTTAGGACTTTATTTTCTTAATATTATGACTTCATTCTCGTAATTGTACGTCTTTATTCTCGAAATAAAATAGAAAAAAATCTCTCGCCTGGCCCTAATACCCCGTTGCAATACGCAACCATCAAGGTAGTTTAAAGTGTATTTTTTGTACAGAACTAAAGGTATAAACGGGACTAGCATAGGTGTATGCTAATCTGACTTCTTGCACATGCGTATTGACTGTGGATATGCTAATCTGGTAGAACACTGAAAAGTAGAAATCACCCTGAACTACGATCCAGCTTAACTAAAACTATGGGGTGCCAAATGTGAAAAATTATGCAAAACAATATTTTTACATTTCTGTTGTTTAATGCACTTCTTTCTCACCTTTAGTGTTTTTTTCCTGACATTTATGGGAAAAACGCTAAAATACAAATATTAATTCATATTATATCATATCAATATTATATCTCCATCTGTATGATAATTTTTGCTTCATTTGATATATATATATATATATAGATATATATCTATATATATATCTATATATATATCTATATCTATATATATAGATATAGATATAGATATATATATATATAGATATAGATATATATAGATCTAAATAGACTAAATAGAACTAAATAATTCATCCAAATTTTACATTTGAATCTAAATATATATGTGAACTGTTTGTCTTATTGGTGTTTCTATGGGAGACAGGTGCGGCCATAAGGTATTTAGTTAAAGTGGTGCTGATAATTAGCATATCTTAAAAAGATTTCAATGTAAGATTTAGAATATTATTAATTTTGGCTTCAAATTTAGATTAACAAAACATATGTATATAGATTATAAAAATATACATTTTAAATGTTAAATATAGGACAGTATAATAGATTGGAGCATTATACCAAACTAAATGTAGGGGGGAAAAAAGCTCTAAATGTTGGAAAGTGAGTTAACTTAAAGAAATGTTACAGTATAAATTGTTTTATTCAAATCTATTAAAATCACATAAAAAATTTCTCGTCATTTCAATTTCTTTTCACACTCACATGTTAAACATTTATATTTTCAGATTTTATGCGATCTTTATTTTAAACTTTTTTCAGCTAAGTCACTGATTCAATGTTGGGATCAGGTTTTTTTTCACATTAATACTGAAAGTTCAACCGACAGGTTAGTTGATGACTGACCTGGAGTTAGTTGGGGTAAACGGGTTGTAGAAGTCCTGCGCTACTCTGTGGCCGTACCAGGATGTTCCAACCAGAGCAAACAGACCTGCAGAAACAACATCAACTTATTACTGTTTCATGCAGTTTAACTTCAATCTCACAAGAAAAAAAAAATCCCAAACACTGGCATCAAACATTTTACAAAAATGAAGGATTCAAACAATTTTATCCTCACCGTAACTTTTTCCTTTAAAAATATAAATGTTTTTCTGGTAGTTTATTCTGACTGGAGGGAGAAACTGTCCCTAAGCATAATTCTTCCACCCCGTGTTTGTCTGTGGAACTTTTATTTACACCTACAACTGCAAATAAATTGAGGTTGATTTGGTCATGTTGGACGTTCTTATACCCATTTTCCACTGGCAGAAAAACCCCTTTAAACCCTCGAACAATGGGCTTTTAGTGGGAACAGCTCACTGACACGTGTCTCATCGGGTCAAATGACTTGGCAAGCGACCCGTGTTAAAATCACCTCGGCTACAGTGGCGTCTCCAGAAATGTGTCATGGGGGGGCCAGATGGGGCCACGAAAAATCTTAGGGTGGCCACTGAGTCTAAAAGCCATCATTTCAGGGTTCGAATCTAATATAGTGGAAAACCTGCCTGTAGAAATAAGAAAGACTTCAGGAAAACCGACTCAGATCCTGGATTATTATGAGATTTTTAATGTTTACGTCGCTGGCTGTGCAGAATGGGAGGAAATGCTAAACTGATGCTGCTACAATTTACACTGGCCAGTGGAAAGGCCAGTGGGGAGGCCAGTGGGGAGGCCAGTGGGGTGGCCAGGGCATTATACATTATACCTGGCCACCCCTTGGTGGCGCCACTGCTCGGCTCTTGTCGGCATGCTGTGGGAACACTAGGGCAGGGTCGACCTGCTAAATTATGTGACACAAATAAAAAAAAAAAAAAGGAAATAAAAAAGTAAAAAAATTAAATAAATTAAAACAAAAAATCACTCAACACACCCACCAGTCGCTTCCGATCTAACAAGCCGAAACAACTCTGGTTGCGTCCGAACATCCGACATTTTAGATTACTGTCTGAACGTCTAGTGGAAGAAAAAGTAGTGGACTAGAAATTTCCCACAATGCACCTTGAAAAGTAGTGATCATCCATGGTCACTAGACGAGCAGATATATCCTGAAATACTCGTGATCTCTACTTGCAAAGCATCTTTGGATTTGTTGTGACCGCGGGCTCCTGTCGGGCTGGTGTGAGCGGCAACAAATAACAAAGATGGCGCGGGGGCCGTGTGGGGAGGCAGAGTTATGTGACCAACAGGGACGAAAAGCAGTGATCACCCGTCCGAACCATCAGTTAACGGCGCCATCTTTGTCATTTGTCACCGCTGTGGCAGTGTGGCACTGTCACAACAAATCCCATGATGCTTTGCGAGAAGAGCCCTCGTAAAGAATTCTTGTTATATCCGCTCGTCTAGTGACCATGGATGATCACTACTGTTCAAGGTGCATTGTGGGAAATTTCCATTGCTATTTCATCCACTAGACGTTCAGACACTCATTTAAAATGCGTAACCATTATATAGTGATTAGGGCGGACATTCAAACACAACCATGGAGATCCTCCAGCTGGTTTCTGATTCTACAGATTAAAATGGCGGATACAACCTCATCTACTGTGGGATGATTAACTGGATCACAAATGGTGAATGGCCTTTACACTGGCGTCACTTTATAATACAAAAAATCACAGTTTAACAACGAAAACAGAAAATCTACTGATTGTTTGTTTCATTAGAAAAGTAGCACTGATAACTCAAGCTGTAAGAAATGATCTGGAATAGAATAGAATAGAATAAGATAGAATAGAATAGAATAGAATAAGATAGAGTAGAATAGAATAGAACAAGATAGAATAGAATAGAATAGAATAGAATAGAATAGAACAGAACAGAATAGAATAGAACAGAATAAAATAGAATAGAATAGAATAAGATAGAATAGAATAGAATAAGATAGAATAGAATAGAATAGAATAAGATAGAATAGAATAGAATAAGATAGAATAGAATAGAATAGAATAAGATAGAATAGAATAGAATAGAACAGAATAAGATAGAAAAGAATAGAATAGAATAGAACAGAATAAGATAGAATAGAAAAGAATAGAACAGAACAGAATAGAATAGAACAGAATAAGAGAGAATAGAATAGAATAGAATAAGATAGAATAGAATAGAATAAGATAGAGTAGAATAGAATAGAATAAGATAGAATAGAATAGAATAGAACAGAATAAGATAGAATAGAATAGAATAAGATAGAATAGAATAGAATAAGATAGAATAGAATAAGATAGAATAGAATAGAATAAGATAGAATAG